TATCATACTTATTACATTTATATTGTTTATTTCTATTATGTATTACTACAATAATATGACATTTACGAGTACATTTTAGAACAAATGTCACATTCATGAGGATTTTCATCAGAATATGTATTTTTATATTTTAAATGCTTTCTTTGAGTAAACCTACTATTGCAGATATCATATTMAAACGGCTTTTATTCGGTGTGTATTCTCATATGGATATCCAAATTATGTTTATAAAAAACGTTTTTGAACAGATGTTGCATTTAAAAGGCTTTATTCCTTTATGCGCCTTTGTATGAATAGGTAGACTAGACGCAAGAGTAAACCTTTTATAATAGCTGATATTACATTTATATGGCTCATCTCCAATATGTATTCTCATATGAATAGCTATAGTTTTTTTTTTGTCTAAATGTTTTCGAACAGATGTCACATTTAAAAGGTTTTCTCCGGTATGTATCATTGTATGTCTTCTTAAATGTTCCCCACGAGAAAATACTCTATTACAAATATCACATTTAAAGGGCCTTTCTCCAATATGTTTTCTCATATGGGTGTTTAAATTTCCTTTCGTAGTCAATTCTATAGAACAGATATTGCATTTTAAGCGTTTTTTTATTTGTATGCCTCCATGTATGATCTTTTAAACATGAYGCATAAGTAAAAATTTGACCACAGATATCAMACTTCTATGGTTTTTCATAAGTATGTGTCTKAGTATGTATTTTTAAATTTGATTTACGAGCAAATGYTTTATCACAGTAATCACATTTAAATGGCTTGTCTCCRGTATGTACCCTTATATGACATTTTAAACTGTCTAAAGAATTCAATGTTTTGTCACATATATCACATTTATGTAGTTTTTTCTCAGTATGTGTTCTCATATGGATATCAAAATTTAGTTGATCATAAAATGGTTTGTTACAGACAGTACATCTATAAGGGATTTTTCCGGTATGAAGAAGTAAGTGTTTTTTTAAATCTGATTCTATAAAATATGATGTTTTACAAATGTCACATAAAAATGATGTTTTGATTTTACTGGTATGAATCTTCATATGRCCTGTTAATAGTGCATTTGAATCAAATGACAAATTGCAGATGTTGCAATTTTTAAGCTTATTTTTTGTATTAGATATCTTGTGTAAATTCAAATGAGCAATGAGTTCCGATGAGTGGTTTTTGTTTGAAATTGGTCCCTTAAATACACAGTCCCTGATAATATTGTTTTCAATTTTAATTTCTGTATCAAGTGTCTTCAGTATTTCTTCACCTTGACTTTTAGTTCTAAAAAATAAGATAAAATTCTAAATTAAATTAAGAACTATAATCAGAAATAACTACATAATGACAGTAGTAAGACTGGCGATGATTTTTCGATCGGAATGTTGAGCTATAGATAAAGCAATGGAGAGGAAAATGAGTGTTGCCGAGATGAGAATGTTAAGRTGGATGAGTGGAGTGACGAGAGAGGATAAATTAAAAAATGAGTATATAAGAGGTAGTATAGGAGTGGCTCAAATAGTTGACAAATCGCGTGAGATTAGGTTGAGATGGCTAGGGCATGTTTTAAGAAGAGTTTAACTGAGGCAGTTTTAGTGACCAAGAATATGAGTGTGGAATGAAAATGAGGAAGAGGAAGACCGAAAAAGAGATGGTTTGAAGTTATAGAGTGTGATATGATAATGACTGGTGTTTCACTACAAGGCTGGGCAAGTTAATGATTTTTTTTAACTCAGTTAAGTTCAATTAAATTAAAAGTTAAGTTAATACATTTTTTAATACATCAATTAAGTTTAAAGTTAAGTTAACAAATTTTTTTAACTTAGCTTAAATTAATAAGTTAAGTTAATGAAAAAAAAATTCATTGAAAAGGTTTTAAAATAAGTGAAAATCACAAAT